TCTGGAAAAATTAGGAATCCATGGAACATTCCTCAATACAATAAAGGCTGTATATGACAAACCTACAGCCAGCATTACACATTTTTTTTGTTGGTCACGGGGTTTGAACTCTGGGCTTGGGCCCTGTCCCCGAGCTCTTCAGCTCAAGGCAAGCACTCTATCGCTTGAGCCACAGCGCCACTTCTGCTTTTCTAGTGGTTTATTGGAAATAAAGTCTCATGGGCTTTCCTGGCTTTGAACCGTGATCTTCAGATCTCAGCTTCCTGAGTAGCTAGGATTACAGGTGTGAGCCACCAGAGCCTGGATGCCAGCATTATACTTAATGGTGAAAAACTAAAGCCATTTCCTCTTAACTCAGGAACAAGACAAGGATGTCCACTCTCTCCACTTCTCTTCAATCTAGTATTAGAATGCCTAGCTACAGCAATAAGACAAAATGCAAACAGAAAGGGATCCAAATAGGGAAAGATGAAGTAAAACTTTCCTTCTTTGCAGATGACATGATCTTGTATTTAAAGAATCCCATGGACTCCACTCACAAATTACTTGAGCTGATTCAGAACTTTGGCAAAGTAGCAAGGTATTAAATTAATACTCAAAAATCAATGGCTTTTCTGTATGCCAACAATGAGAAAAGCGTGGCTGAAATCAGGAAAGCAACTCCATTTGTAATAGCTCCACAAAAAATAAAATACCTAGGAATTAACTTAACTAAAGAAGTGAAGGAACTCTATGATGAAAACTTTAAAAACCTGAAAATGGAAATCAAAACAGAACTTAGAAAGTTCCTCCCATGCTCCTGGACTGGAAGGATCAACATCGTGAAAATGGCAATACCTCCCAAGGCTATGTACAAATTCAATGCGATATCAATATTCCAACCTCATTCTTCATGGAAATAGAAGAGGCAATCCAAAAATTCATATGGAACAATAAAAGACCCCCTAATAGCAAAATTGATCCTTAACAGAAAGATCAGTGCTAGAGGAATATCAATAGCAAATTTCAAACTCTACTACAAAGCCATAGTACTGGCACAAGATCAGACCTCAGGACCAATGGAATAGAATTGAAAACCCAGAAATGAACACAACTATGTTTATTGCAGCATTATTTACCATAGCTAAGATATGGAACCAACCCAGATGCCCCTCAGTAGATGAATGGATCAAGAAAATGTGGAATATATATACACATGGAATTCTATGCCTTCATCAGAAAGAATGACATTGCTCCATTTGTTAGGAAATGGAAAGACTTGAAAAAAATCATCTTAAGTTGAAGTAAGCCAGGCCCAAAGAAACATAGGTCCCATGGTTTCCCTTATTTGCAATAACTAGTATATGTCTGAGTCAAGCAGAAAAGGTCAGATAAGTTAATGTTAGGGAAATGAACCCTAAGATATGTATTCAAATGTCTTTTTCTTTCATGCAATTGTTTCTAACACATTTATAAGATTTTTTTGTTGCTTTGTATGTCCCTTCCCCACGGTATAACCCCTGCTTTCACTTTATTTGATGTTGGTATAATTTGTGGAGGGGAAGGGGAAAAACAAATCATTTAAATAGGGATACAGGTGGAACCATTGCAACAATGAGATGTACAAGTCGTTATGTCAAAAATAAACTTTACAACTTTGGTGGGGGGAGGAGGATTGGGTGGGGAGTATGGGGGGAGGATGGGAAGGGATGGGAAGGGGAAACAAAGAAGGAGGCTACATTGCTTGATAAGAAATGCACTCATTATCTTTCCCATGTAATTGTAACCCCTCTGTACAGTATTTTCACAATAAAAAAATATACCTGGAACTCAAAAAATTAAATTCCCCAACAACAAATCCTCAAAGAAACAACTGCCTGGTAAATAAGTGGGCGAAAGATTAACGGGCCAATTTCTATCGGTCCTGATAATTCTAGCTGAATTATTCAGTTACTTAAAGGTCTGTCTCTGTCCAGATTGCTAGCTGTACCTTGAGTCTGGGCATGCACCCACATCACAGCATGAAGGCTACTGCTATAGATTCATGGAAGTTTTTGTCCTTCAGAAGGCCCAGCTGGAGTGGATTAGGGAATGGGGGGAGAGCTTTTCGTGATTTTCTCTTCTTATGTGTAGAAGTGATAAGGTATTTTTCTGTTCCCATGACTCTCTGCTTGTTTGTATATTTGTGTTGTCAGTCTTTTGGGGAGAAGTGTGTGATATGAACCCAGATCTCTGTTTGGTTAGAGAGAGCTGTGGCGATTCCCTATTGTTTGGCTGTCATCTTATTTCATCCTCTAGAAATTTTTGAATTGGGTAAAGCTTCCACGAATTACATGTATTTTAACATATTACTTGTATGTCACATTTATTGAATAAATAAAAGATATTAATCTCTGATCTTAGATAAAAAATGACATTTGCACAAATAACATACCTTTTGGATATCAAGAGCCATCAAGAATACCATAAAGGTCATTAACTTAACTTGCAGAATATAGCCTTTTTGAACAAAAAAAGGAAGAAGCACAGTCCCAAGCTTGTGGTCTTTCTTTCCTCTACTACCACACAAAATAAAGAATTTAGTAATAAGCAAACATAAGTAAAGATTATGGGAAAGCTTATTAAAGAAGAAATATGGCAACAAAAGAGAGCAGATGGTGTAGATATGCCAGAAGACAGCATTTAGACCATCATTTAGCTATCTTCATCACTGGGATTGGCCTTCAGTTAAGCAGTGAGAATTAGAGTCCTTGAAAATAGCTTTCTGAATGGTGGGTCTCCCTTTAATTTTCTATTATGTTTTGATGGCAAACATTTTACTTTCTTGTTCTTATTTCACAAAAGCAAATTTAAATAGAATATACAGAAATATTGTAGATTTCCCTCCCTCTACTTAGATAGTCAGAATGTACCATTTATCATGAAGATTACTTGATATTTGTGCATTAAAAAAAAGAAAGCACAGCTGGCTCATCTTCCTCTCACAGAGATTTTTTTCTTTTGGTTCCAGTCATGGGGCCTGAACTCTGGGCCTGGGCGCTGTCCCTCAGCTCTTCAGCTCAGGGCTAGCGCTCTACCACTTGAGCCACAGCGCCACTTCCGGCTTTTTTCTTTTTGCTTATGTGGTGGCGAGGAATTGAACCCAGGGCCTCAGGCATGCAAGGCAAGTGCTCTACCATGAACCACCTTCCCAGCCCCTCACAGAGATTTCTTAGCACTCAAGTCATTCATCCTGCTTGGTCTCCCCATGCCATGGGGACTGTTCGGGTGAATTCTACTGCCTTTGTTGTTAGGTTGAAGGATGAATCCTTTGGTTTTATCCGTAGAGCACTTCACAAAGCAGGAGCAGAGGTTAGGAAGGAAGAGGGGCAGTGCTATTAGAGAAGTTTTGTTTCATCACATGTGATAGATAGACTACCCTGAGAAGCAGCTTCAACCTGCCAACATGGCTGGCTCAGGTATCTTGGAGGCCACTGCTCTTCTGGTGTCTGAAGGAGGTCAATTTGTAGAAATGCTCTTGCAGGCTTAGTTGGTTCAGTAGATATCAGTTTCATGCCTACAATGTGTGGGGATACTCAGGACAAAGCTAATGTGATACCTAACACCTAGCAGAGGTCAGCGAAGAACTGGCTTCTCTCACTGAACTTTGGTCTAAAGAATCTTGCCATCTCTGAAGGGAAATAACAAAATACTGAAATAAGGATACAGGCTGACCCACTGAAACAATGAGATGTACAAGACGCTATGTTGAACATGAACTTTGCAACTTCAGTGTGGAGGAGGAGTTGGGGAGGTAGGAAATGAAGGGATGGTAGGGGAAAAACAAAGGAGGAGGTAACAATGCTCGATAGAAAATGTAGTCATTACCTTACTCATGTAACTATAACCCTTCTGTGCAATATTTTTACAATAAAAAATACATACAAAAAAGAACCCTGCTACTTTTGTATGGGTTCTGTGCTCATCTCTCTAGCTTGCTTTCCCACTTTTGCCTTCCATCCTTCTTGTATTTATTGCATCCCATATCTCTTGATGTTTACTCTTCTTTCCTCTTTCTCATTTTTTCTATTATATATGCCCAAATGGGTAAACAAACTATAGTACATCCATAAAATGAAATACAACTCAGTGCTCAAAAGAGACTCACTACAGAAAGATAGAGAAGACACTGAAAGCATATTGTTAAGAGAAAGACACCACAGTGCAAAGGTCACATTCGATGTAATTCCAACAACATAAGATTTTCCAAAAGCAAAAAGTAGAGCCAGTAATAAGATCAGTGGCTGGTCAGAGCTTTGGGGATCTCAGAGCAATGAAATTACCCTATTTGAGATTGTCATGTTGTATATTTGCCATTAAGAATTTATTAAAATCCATAAAACTGTTCAGCACAAAACTCTAATAACCCATGGAGTAGTTCAGTTAATAATAACATGTCAACATGGATTCAAATTGTCACATGAATGCCATATATATAATATATAATAGAGAAAATTTTGGAAGCAAGATGGTTGGTCATATGGGAACTTTCTATTTCTTCTGCAAACCCAAGACTGCCTCAAAACAGGAAATCTGTCCAAAACAAAATCAGACCAACTCATCTAGACCTCACTCTGGCAAAGATTATAATGGCTGTTCCATATTCATGATCTGGCTTTTCTTTGCTTTCTAGTAAGATCTGGAGCTGTTCTCAACTCTACACTAATATATCTTTTATCTTCTAGAAGACCCAGTCTATCATGTGACCAGTGTGCAATTACACTGAGCTTTGATCCCAGGCCTGACCCATACTTTCTCTGTGGAACTTCCCATGTGTGTAAGGAACCTCTGTGTTGGTTCTGTAAGTGAACATACTGTCCTCATACTCATCTTTTGTTAAAACATGGGTCAGCCCATAGACCCTTTTTGACGTCATCCACATCCTAGTCACACATCATCCCTGCCCATTCTGAGTTCCACACGGATAGAAATTGTGAAAGGAGGGAATCAGAGTGGACAGGAGGGGCAGCCACACCTCTCACCTGTGGTGGTCGTGCAGTCTGTCACCTCGCCCACATGCCTGGCTGGAGCCTGCCACATCTTGGTTAGGAGTCTGGAGGGCAAGTGACATTCTCCTGTGCATTTCCTACAGAGAAGAAACGCTGCTGCTTAACCAGTCATCCTTTACAACCTGCTGAAAGGTGCAGCCCATTGTTAATGATTGACCTGCAAATTAAACTGTCGAGGATTTTATCACAGCACCTCATGGGAGTAGGGAAGCTGAGACAAATCTCTTGCTGAAAAAATATATGAATGGAATTTTGTCTCAGATAGTTCTAGGGGATAAATTTGGAGGTCCAAGGAAAGCTTGTCTCCTGCATTTGCCTGGGAATCAAAGAGATGGGATCCAGACAGGAAGGTGAATACTAGTTTCCAGAGAAAGTAGTCATTTTCAACTTCCTTGTAAAAGTAGTCACTTAGCTCTTAGGAATTATGGGCTGTGATAAATAAAGATTCAAAAAATAATGACTCACTCTGATGCCAGGTTAAATGGGGCTCTAGTGAATCTACATGTCATGAATTGAGCACAGGCTTGATCGATCCTACAGTCAAAAAAGGAGTAACTAGAGTTTTCTGGTCAGGGAGGTCACAAGTGTGACAAATATATGTGGCAAGGGAAAAGGAAAAGTGAGTGAAAAGGAGAAATACACTGGAGAAAAAGCAAAGGAAATACAAAGTAGTCATATGGTTTCAAAGGTGCTCTACCTGATCAGAATCTAGACCCACATAGAGAAAGAGAACCTCTGTAAGAGCAGAACTTTGGGGGGGGACTTAATTGGCCATTTGTGACATTTAAAGAAGTCCCCCAAGCCTAGTTCCCCTGAAAAGGAGCACCTTTTATACCCTCTTTCCTCTGCCTCTCTCTCCCTCCTGCTCGGAGAAGCCAACAAAGCAAACAGCCCCCATAGTGGGGGAGAGGAAAGACTAAAGGACATCTGCCCTGAGCAGAGATTCCTTATTAGATCAGGGTTTTATGCTAAATTCTTGACTACTCATGACTTACATGCTTGTTATCTGCCTTTGGGTCCCCAGAATGCATGACAAGGCCTAGCATGCACATGGTAGTACTCATTGTCAGAAGAATACATGGTTCTACAACTTCAGGATAATCCCTTCACACTATTGGTGCCACCACTCTCTTGGTGGAGATCACAGCCCCTTCTCTGGTTGCTTTCAGGATAGCTAGGTCTGATCAGTGCCTGATCTAGGCTATGTCAAGGGTAGTGCTTTTTCTTCTGCTTCCTCCTCTAGCACAAGAATGTGTTTGGGATATGGTAAACTCTCTCAGTCTTGGGACGATGGGAAACACAAAAAAAGAGGTCGAACGTGTTTCGCTCAGTAGCATAGAAATTCCCACAGACTTCTGTCCAGTACCTCTGAGCACCAGAAGAAACTATTGCAATGGCATTTGGGGGAAATCCAGTTGTTTAGTTGAGAAGTTTGCCCCTGGCTGTTCTAGTTGGAAGCTCTTACAAAATTGCATTCTGAAATATGAAACTCATTTGTCTTTGGCCTGTTTTGCTTAATAGCAAAGAACTCATGCATAGAAGAAAGGAAAAGCATCCACCAGAGGACTAGATGGCAAATGAATATAGGACAAGGGTTCAGATGGACCCTGGATGAGCAAGAGTATAAGAGGAATCTGGTCTCTAGGAAGAGATTGCTGTTCAGCAGATTGCTCATGCAAAGCCTCTTTCTCTGTTTCCCAGGAGGATCACTGTGCAGGGAGGATGCTTGCAGCTCCTGCCTGAGGATTGAGAAGAAGCTGAATGCCGCGAGCAGGACCTATCCATATATTTGCAGGTTGACTGGACGGAGACTGATCAAGAGATGCCCAAGGGAAAGGAGTCTCAGGGTATCTGGCTTAGTTCAGGCTGATATAATGTCATTCTGTAAGCTGAGAGACTTAGAAACAATAGACATGAATTTCTTAGAATTCTGGAGGCTTCCTTCCTTCCTTTCCCTTCCCTCCCTCCATCTCTCCCCTCTCTCTCTCCCTTCCTTCCTTCCTTCCTTCCTCTCTTTAATTTTTTCTTTCTTTCTCTCTTTCCTCTCTCTCTCTCTCTCTCTCTCTCTCTCTCCTTGCTTCCTTAGTCTTCTCCTTTGTCCCTTTCTTACCACTTCTTCACGATCACATTATGGAATGTGTACTTGGTATGGGCCATAAAGATCCATGTCCTTTGAGTTGTATTCATTGCTTTGATTGTTTTGGACTCAATGATGTTCTCCTATTCCTTATAGGAAGCTTTGTTAAATTCAATGATTTGGGACTGGGAAGGTGGATCAGTGGTAGAATGCTTGTCTCCCATACATGAGACCCTAGGTTTGATTCCTCAGCACCATATAAGCAGAAAAAAGTCAGAAGTGGTGCTGTGGCTCAAGTGGTAGAGCACTAGCCTTTAGTTGAAGAGCTTAGGGACAGTGCCCAGGCTCAGAGTTCAGGCCCATGACTGATAAAATAAATAAATAAATAAAAATAAATTCAATTATTTGCTTGTGGAAAGCTTCACACTTTCTCACTGTGAATCTTTTGCTCCTTAGTGACAGCCATCAATACCATGACAACAGTTAACTGAGCTGACCAGGTAATGCCTGTACTACTACATGTTCTACCGGCGGCATATCAGGGACTCTAATGTTTGGCACAGGAAAACTAATCCCTTGACAGGAAGCTTTTGAGTTGGAACAAAGGAAGGGAAACAGAGACAAGAGAAAATACACAGAGATGAGGCTCTAAGTGCCCTCCATCCCAACTTTGTCAAAGCTTACAGCGACTTTTCCAATTGCCAAGTTGGAGACCTTGTTGGACTTTCCTTAAGCATAAAATGTCATAAGGGAAATGCAATCCCAAGGTGGAATTTAAGGTAGATTCTTCCATCCCCCAGACAGGCTATATCATTTTATAGAATTTTTAGTTTATAATATCCTAGATATGAAAGTAGTAATGAGTATGAGATAAATAGACAATATATCTGGTTGAAAGACAAATGACATTTCCTGAACAGACCAGCCATGGTGATCTAATTCATGCTACTATACAGCTCGGAAACATAATAATTTGCACAGCAAATTACAGTAGAAAAGTTTCCAAGGTACCATTTGATAGCTTTAAATTTATAATAAAAGGGTAAAATTTGGGGAGATTTTTAAAAATTACATTTTATTTTATAGTAAAGGTGATGTACAGAGGGGTTAAAGTTATGTAAGTCAGTAGATTTCTTATCAAACAGTGTTACCCCCCTCATTTTCTCCTACTTTCCCTACCCCTGACTCTACCCTCCCCCCCTTCCACCACCAAGTTGTAAATTTAATTTCCAGTGTAGTGTCTGTGTGTATAACTGTTGCATTGGTTCACCCTTTGTCCTTTGTCTCACCATTTTGTGATTCCCTTCCCTTCCCCAAATCAGATAAATGTATATATAAGACACAGGGTACCAGATCAAACACAGTGTCTACCAGGGATAAACCAAAGGAAAATTTAAAAAAAAGGAAAAATAAAATAATTTCACATAGTACATTAAAACACACATACACACACACAGAGAGAAAACTCTTTTGTTTCCATATCATGGAGTTCATTTTGATTAGCAAAATTTTATATAGTCATGTGTACATAGCAATTGAACTGTTGTGATCCTCTGCTAGTACTATCCTAGACATACACTAATTATTATGAATGAGGGAAACCATGGAGCTATGTTTCTTTGGGTCTGGCTTATTTCATTTAAGATGATTTTTTTCCTAGTCTTTCCATTTCCTTACAAATGGGGTGATGCCATTCTTTCTGATGGAAGCCTAAAATTCCTTTGTGTATATATACCATATTGATTCATCCATTTATCTACTGAGGGCATCTGGGTTGATTCCATATCTTAGCTATGGTAAATACTGCTGCAGTGAACATAGTCGTGCTGGTAGCTTTAGTATGGCCTTGTTTGTGATCATTTGGGGACATGCCTAGAAGTGGGTTTGCTGGAGCATAGAGGACCTCTATGTTTAATCTCTTGAGGAACCTCCATACTGATTTCTAGAGTGACTGGACAATTTACACCAAGTTAACAGTTTACACAAAGCTACACCAAGAGGGTAGTAGCTTTCCATTTTGGTCATATCCCCCCAGCTTCGGTTATTATTTGTTTTCTTGATAATGGCCATTCTAACTGGGGTGAGTTGGAATCTCAATGTGGTTTTGCATTTCTTTTATGGCCAGAGATGTTAAGCATTTCTTCATATGTCTATTGGCTATTCTTATTTCCTGTAAAGAGAAGTCTCTTAAATTTTTTAGCCCACTTATTTAATAGGGTGGTTGTTTCTCTGAGATTTATTTTTGGAGGCTTTAAGTTTTTGATATCTGGTATATTTTTGATATAAGGCCCTTTTCTGTTGTATAGCTAGTAAAGATCTTCTCCCAATCTGTGGGCTTTCGATGTATCTTGCTAGCTATGTCCTTTGCCATGCAGAAGCTCTGCAGTTTAATGTAATTCCATTTATCCATCCTTTCTTTGATTTGTTGTGTTTCTGGATCTTTATTTAGGAAGTTTCAACCTGTGCCAAGGGGGCCCAGTGTATCTGCTATCTCTTCCTGTAATATTTTTGGGGTATTTGCTCTTACCTTGAGGTCTTTGATCCATTTGGAGTTGATTCTCATACAGGGTAATATATAAGGATCCAACATCAATTCTCTGCATGTGTATAGACAGTTCTGCCAGCACCATTTGTTGAAGAAGCGGCCTTTCTTCCATCCTGTGTATTTTGCTCCCTTCTCAAAGATTGGGTGGTCATAGGTCTGTGGGATCATTTCTGGGTCTTCAATTCTATTCCATTGGTCCTCACGCCTGTTCCTATGCCAGTCCCAAGCTGTTTTTTTTTTTTTATAACTATGGCTGTTTGAAGTTTGGTATTGATATTCCTCCAGCACTGTTCTTCCAGCTAAGAATTGTTTTTGTTATGTAGGGTCTTCTATTATTCCATATGAATTTTTGGATTGTTTCTTCTATTTCATTAAAGAATGCTGTTGGCTATTGATGGGTATTACATTGAATTTGTTGATAGCTTTTTGACAGTATTG